CTCCAAGATTACTTCTCAGCTTCAAGGGTAATTATTGTTAGAGAATAGAATAAATTATTGTTAGAGAATAGAAGCAATTCTCACATTTCCTGTTTGATGAAACATATTGGGACAGAACTACTCATACGGTTCATCGTCTGCTATTATCTGCAAAATGTCTTCAACAATGACTCAAGTTCCCTCACAAAGCTGCTTCAGTGCCTGAAAACATCAACAAATCAGTCTCTGAAACAAGACTTTGCAGGGGTCAAGAGTTCAGTCCTCATATAGTGTACAAGGACCCTGACAGACGCTCCAAAAACTTCTAACATAGAGGATTTTGAGAAGGCAAATACACAAACGCCGCTTACTTTTTATTTTTCAGACCTGTGAAGTTAATGAATGAATTCACTGTTATGCAAACAAATACACCCATGGCGTGCCAGTAAACATCAAAGCAAGCTTTTACTAAAGCCAAACAAATAGTAATGTCTTTAAAACTGTCTTCAAACTAATAACAGCAGTCCTGCGCTGTCTGTGTGTGATTACTAAAAAGCTTTTAACAAGAATGCTAGTGTACAACTAAAATATTGACTTTGCTCCCTCGTCCCACTGGTGAATACAAACACCCTTAACCGCTCAAAGTCATGGATGTGTAAGCCCATCAAACAGACACACACATAAGCACAAAACCACAAGGACACACACACCAAAATAGAACTGGCAACCCACCAAGACACTCAGTAGAGCCAATCTTTCCCTCGCCCGGCAGACTGTGAATTCCCAGTTTGCTTTGCAGCAACAACAGGGTATATGTGCATCTGTGTGTGTGTGTGTGTGTGTAGATAAAACACAGCAATCACTGAATGCAGGCACAAGGGCCACCAAACTAAATGCTTGGACGAGGCTGGCATGAAGACTCGTGTGCACACTGGCACATACAAACACACACGGACACTCTCACATACATATGATTAGAAATGGATACGCTTGCCAAGTCATTTTGCCTCTCAGCGCACAGAGAACAGACCTCAGCCTGTAGAGGGGACGAGGCAGAGTGAGACTGAAGAGGGGAGGGTGGGAGGTTGAGACAGAAAGCAGCAAAGCATGTTGGTCACCAAAATTGCAAAAATTAATTGGTCACGCCCATGCGGGTTCGCATTTGCATCCACCAATTGTACTCGTCGCAAGGGGATTAGAAGCCTTTGCTTTTTCAAACATTTTAGGTTAAAGCTAAACTGCGAATATTTCCTAATCACAACGTATGCAGCTCCCTCCTCGGTTTACAGCGGGAACACACTGGTGCTCACAGCGCTGCGTTCACTGAGAGTTCAATTTACAGGCGGTTATAGTAATAAATTATACTGCTGCAGTGAAAGAAATGCAATTAAATAATGGTAAAGGTTTGATAAGCTGTATTAAAAGCTTCCAGCTATTTGAATGTTTTGATGTAACCGAGGTTGGATAAGCATTCCCTGAACTCTGTCAAATGTTTGTCATCTTACCGACAGACGTGTCAATAAGAAGGGGACAGGAAATGTACAAGAAAAAGGGGAATAGTCTGGAGCAGAGAATTTAATGCACAAAAAGCACGGATTGATCTTAAGAGCCACGTGTTCACTGTACAAGTAGCACACACACACACACACACACACACACAGAGTATTTTTTTGTCAGGGACTGTGTAGCAATTAATGTCATTGGTGAAACAAAGCAATATAAAATCCTTGGTCTTGTAAATAATTGAATTGCCTCTTCAGGATCTTTGTCTCCGTAGTCTCACTCGCACTGACGTGTAGATAGAAATGGTAAATATTTTTTAATGGAACGTTTTGAAGCACGCTGAACGTCAGCGTGGTAAATTGACTGAGCTTAATTGTGCTGAGCTTCAACATTGTAATTATGTCCGGTATTTCATACGGTAGCGATTGCTGAAAAGAGGTCTCCTAGCCACGTACCGATAAACAATTTCCACCTGTCTAAAATACGACAGTCACCAAAAAATATATTGGAATTGGAAGATTTGATTGAATACAAACAGCATTTCCTTTTTGGTGTATGTGTCCCACAATATAAACATATCCAGAAGAAAGTTCAAGCATGAAGTGTCAGTAAGCTGCGTGGTGTATGCAGAAGTTATTCAGAAATGTATTTCGTTACGCAGAAATGAAAAGGTCACACAGCCTCAGGCAGTCGCTAATGAGAGGAGGTGTCATGAGGACTCTGTATTAGCCACTCTCATGCCATTAGTTTGTGTTTATTTGAACAGAACTCATCTTCTGCAATATTTTAAGTCCAGTTAATTGTGTTTCCTGAACTTATGATTAGCGAGGTAGAAAAAAACCCGTCTGCAGTCTGCAAGTTTTGCATGCTACTGTATGTCATATACAGTTGTTACGGTTCATTAGTATTGTTTCTGGGATTTAAATATGACCGCTGTTACTCACTGATCCCTTTGTAGTCGTCTTTGGACTATTCAAACAAATATTTCCACCTTTTTTGTCCAGGTTTCTCATATGAACTGGGATCTAGATGAGTTGCATCGCATTGAGGAAAAGCTTTCACATGTTTTTTCTCCAAAAATTCTTACATCGTATCAATAGGCAGCATTACTATTATAATATATAAACTTATGTTGACTTTGGGGTTTTGGAAAATTATAAGTGCATTTCCCTCCTGACGGATTCACATCGACAGATTAGGTGAAGGACGTTCAGGAGTAAGAACGTGTCATTAACTAATCAAAGGTTCGTTAGTTTGATCTCCTCCACACAAACGTACTGCAGACTCAACGACGAGCTGGTTACATCTCGGTGGTCAAAGGTCATCGTGACCTCACGGCCGTCCCGTTCTCGTCGGCTCAGGAGCTTGAGCGAAGTTCTTCTAAAACTTCGTAAACTTGAGACTCCTGGTTGAACTGATGAACTTGGTGGTTAAAGATCATTGTGACCTCACAAAACATTCGTGGCTGTATACTTCAAGCATGGATGTGCTATTTATGACACACACAAATGTCTAAAGTGATACAGATTTTTGACAGACTGCAATATGACGGACAGTATATATATATATATATATATATATATATATATAATATATATATATATATATATATATATATTATATATTATATATGTAAAGGCATTTCTTTATGTTTATTCCCCCCCTGTTATCCTTTACGTCAGCACTACACTTTTAATGGTCCGTGCATTTTTTAATAATCTTACTTCTGTCACAGCTGACAGAAATCGAGAGCAGTGCTTTTCAGAACAAAGCAATTATTCTGAGATACTTGACTAGGTTGTACTCAGTCATGTCAACCACTCCGAATACTAAACACTTTTATCGATGAAATGAGTGAAGAATGAGAAATGACACCGGCAATCGCGTTCATGTTCAAACTCCTGTGCATTTGTCTCGTGTCCAGAGTTGCTCCGCTTCACATGAAAAGGACGTCACAGCGCAGATAACAAATTGACAACAGCTGCAACTAAGACGAGAATTCAGAAACTCCGGCTTTTGTTAGAAACAAGTGAAGTGAATGATGTGACGTGAATAATGATCTGCTTTCTCCGTTTCCCGCTTCAATATTTCATACTAAGTGGCGATCTCCCTTACATAAAGCGCTGTTGCATCCATATTTCATTGGAGAACAATGCAGTGTAACTGACATACACAGTGAGGAAATGTGCTTACAAAGCATCAAAAGAACTGTCGCACAGGATGGCTGGCAGCAGAATAATATAGGGCACTGCTGGATGGATGTAACAAGCTCAATAGCTACACGCATCATTTGATCACATAATACAAAGCTAGTATGTGTGTATGTGTGTGTGTGTGTGTGTGTGACACGCTTCATTTGATCAGGTAATATAAAGCTTTGCTGTCTGTGTGCAAGTTTGCTTGACGTGGATCATTTGCCCATATACAACAAAATTGCAGTGTGCTGTATGTGTGTGTGTGTGTGTGTGTGTGTGTGTGAGAGATAGAGTGGGATATTCACTGGGAAAGGAAAAGCCGGCGTATATGCGCGTGTCTGTGTGTCAACAGAACGTGTGACATGCATCATATCCTTAGATAATACAAAGCTAGCGTGTGTGTAAACAGTAGTACGTCTAATAACATGGCTTTCTGAATGAGAATGATGACTCCTGTCACTCCTGAACCCTCCTACACACATAGATGCATGACGGCTTTCTGCTAAATTAATCATTGGAGGAAACTACAGTCACCATATCAGAGCAAAAACATGTACAGACACACACATGCACCCTCTGACACCGAAACAAGCTCACAAGCAAGCTGAAAGCGAGGCTTGAAATACATGCAGAGCATGTGTACAAACACACAAAGACAAAATTGCAGACACCCTGACAGAAACACATGCAAGTGCAATGCGAAACATAAATCGGGGCATGAATAATTAACTGTCGGAAATTTCAGAGCACGTTGGGACTGAACTGAAAACATAAAGCCATTAGATGGAAACACAAACGGACTCTATGCATGGCAACAACTGAAGGAGGCAGAGCGCTGTCCATGCACACGGGTTGGTCTCATTCTAGGAGGAACTGCTCAACTTGTTTTCATGGTAAACTTTTACAGCATTTAATAATTCAATTAGTGGATAAACGTAAAACTACTCGTCCCTCCCTCACTGAGAGCAAAACACTCGACTAGATCTCGACTCTTCGCTGTCCTTGCGCCGAAATGGTGGAACGAGCTCTCTGAAGACACCAGGACCGCAGAGAGCCTTCACATCTTCCGCCGCAAACTAAAGACACACCTCTTCAGACTCTACCTCGACTAAAAGACTAATAAATTGTAGCACTTAAATTGTACTTGTAACGTCACTCATCTATAGCAAATTGTAAATTGGCATTTTTGAGGAAATTGCACTTTCTTGTTTCTTGTTCTCCTGAGTTTGTATCCCTATGGTTGAATGCACTTAATGTACGTCGCTTTGGATAAAAGCGTCCGCTAAATGACATGTAATGTAATGTAAGTTCACACTACACAAATACAGTTTTAGCCTTTATTAAACAGTTTAAGCAAAAAACACGTCTGTCTTAATGACTCGGACCACGTAAACACCAAGTAGTTCACATATCAACGCGATGTTGCGGGACAGGATGGGATCACCTGAATAACAAGAGTGAGGTTTAGCGCTGCAAACGGTCTGTACCAAGAGACAAAGTATGACACAATCCTGGAGGTGGCCCTTGTGCAGGTCATCACCCGCTGTAAGAGAAGTCATGTTGTGTGTTCTGATGAAGGATCTATAATGACCATCAATCCCAGCTGTGGGCATCGTCCACCTGGCCAACAGTTACATTGTAACTAATCAGGTGACGTAAGACTTGAACTAATTCCATTTGACTTTGATGTCCGAGATGAAAAACAAGTATCTACAGGATGAAATAAATGTCTGCTGAAGATCTGGATATATGCGGTCCATGACTCTTATTTCCATACTTTGTATTGAAAGATATAACATCTACTTAAACCACATTACTATTATGAACACACCCTTTACACAGAATACAATGAGACGTTCTTAAAAGCAAGCACACTACAATCAAAACAAGGATGGGCATTTACCTTCTAAGAACCTTTTAAAAAAAGCAGAATTAATTGAGAATCGCACTGCAACTCAGGGTGCTGAAAAGTCACTTTCATTGAAATACGAGATGGAATATGGACTGTAAATAAATGTTGAGTTTAGTTTAGTTTAGTTAGGTTGTGATTGAAAACGGATAGTTGTATAAAAGGTGTCTGCTCACATGTGATTGTCCATGGGGTTTGCCTCCTTCAATGACAGTGATACTGCCGTGTTACCACGAAGAAACTGCTTCGTGGCTGCATTCAACACTGAATAAGAGCACGTACAGTATGTGGTAAGGGCACACGAGATATCACTGTTTTCACACTCTTAGACCACACAGTGCAGCCTCCCATTGGGTCACCGTCCCTCTTCTGCACCGTCTCCTCGTTTGCAGTAACGCCATCAGTACAGTTTCTCGATGACAAAGGCCAAGATGGCTGCTGCCAGAGTTAGCGCAATCACCAGCTTCTTCAGTGCTTCCCTGTCGAGACTGTAGGAGCCGATCAACAATAAGGATGACGCAGGATCTTGGATTCCATTGACAGTCGGTTCCTGTGGAGGCAAACATACAGAAACACAATTGAACAGGACTGAGATCATTCATTTCGCCCTAAAGACATTTTCTTCTTACAGTTCTTATAAATAAAAACAAAAATGTAAAAAATACTCACATGCAAATATTGAGTAAATAGTTGCATACTGTGTACGTCTCGTGCTCTTATTTTGAAAGGTTAGAACAGAATGAGTGGATTCGATACGTGCTGCCTGTCAGTGTTGAAAGGCGTAATTGAGTTTGCAGTTCTAGATCGGATTATAGATGGAGCCTCTGCGTTTTCTTACAAGATTGTGTATAGTCAGCACATTGTGACTGGTTGCCACCTTTATTTTCATTTTCTTGTAAAGAAAGCACCATGTGCAGCACATAGAACTACTTCCCACTGATGCTGTTCCACTGAGTTGAGTTAAATGTGATAGTACAGTAACCCACAGAACAGACCTCAAAGGGGCCGTCATTCTCCCACACTTTTGGACAGGCGAGTTCGCTGCAGCTTATAGCACAAGTTATGTCCATCATTTTTAATTAGGGGATCAAATAAACTGCCCACGGTCACAAATCAAACAGCGAGGCCTGACAGACCAGTGATCCAACGAATGAGATGTCTGCAATCAGTAAGTTGTGCTTAGTCCTAATGTGTTGGACCATTAACAAGACATCCATAACTGAAGAGATGTGACAGTGACATGACGGGACACATCAATGCTGACAACAAGTGAGCAGTAGAAAGAGATAAACGTCAGTGCAGGAAGAGAAATAAAAAGACGACCAAGTTGGTTGGAAAAAAAAAACATGATTCTACCAAATCATAATCTATTTAGGTTCTTCATAAAAGATCCATTTATTTGAGGTGGTATATGACTATCCGTCATGGATCCTTGCTGCTGATTATTAATAATGCCACTGGATATCAGGATCAAGTGGCATCATTTAGGCGAGCAGATTTCTGCACTTTCCCCTCAATGTTTTGTCCTCTCAGCTTAGGTTTATTTCCATCTGATTTCTTACCAAAACTTAGGTTTAATTTGGAAATAACCAAAACAATAATTAGAACAATTTTAAACGCCAGTCATTTTAATATTTTGGGAATGGGAGCACTTATGAATCCAGCTATTTGCTTATGTGAATGAATGCATTTCATTTATGACGCCATTAGCTCTGTGTGAAGCAGCTAATGCAGTTTTCTAGTGATCCAATTATTACAAAGTGCTGTCTATTGAATAAAGCTGATGTTGACGAAGGTGCACTGTGATGCCATTTGTGAGCTTACGAGAAGTAAAAAATAGGGGTTAGCTTCCAATGTAAGTAGAGCCACAAGGTTTCTATAGGAAGAACAACGGCACGTTCAATGGCTTCTTACAGCCACGTAGACAACTGCTTCAGGCTCATTGGAACAACACTCAAAGCAGCCGGGATAAACGCAACATGAAGGTAAACTCTAATTTCATCCAAAGATAATAAAGATAGAAACCCTGAATACTTTCTCCTCAACCTCCTTCATTGATCAGCCTTCAGTTAATACGCTTCCATGTTAATGTCCCAGAGTGCAGACCTGATGTGCAGCAAAGTCAATTGATTACTAAATAAATGAATAACTTACTAAATAAATAATCCTACACAATAGGTGGCTCTTTTAATTTGAACATGAAACAAGTTGGATAGAATAATCCGCACTTGAAGTGAAAATCTATCTGGATGAACTTGTAGTCGTTCCTGTACCTGCGTGACAGGTGCTAAAATGATCACTGCAGAGGTAAATCATGTGGGGCAATATTGAGCGATTGATTACCGGCCTTCTACAATAACCTTTAATCACATTCACTGGGGATAACAGAGAGGTTTGGCTTTGATATTTACCATAGGCAGATTGACTCGGAACTGTTTCTCTCCCTCGCTACACTCCAAGTATGTCCATTAAGTCTTGTTCAATGACCTTCTCCCTTATCTGTTTTCTTTTTCTCTCTCTATGGATCACCAATGACAACGGCCTCGCTATTCTATTCACCCTCCTCCTTTTATTCAGAGGAGCATGCTTAGCCAATTTGAAGAATACTTTCGATCATTACCAATATCTGGCTGTGCATTTTATCAGTTTGCCATCGTATGTATTTCAATTCAGAAAGACAAAATACATTCATTTATTCACTTATTCAATCATGTAATGCATGTACGGTAGCTTTGAAATGCACTATTCTTGTTTACATCACAAGCAAATCAACCTCCTCTTAGTGTGAGGGAGCAACGCAGCATCCACTTGTCGTTTTAGTTTTGGAGGACGGCAAAAAGACAAGTTGCTGTTACTCTCTACTGAACCTCAACCGATTTTTACCACTTTCCTTTTGATTGCCAAAAGTATATATATATATATATATATATATATATATATATATATATATATATATATTCGCTGTCTACGATCTGTCTGACTCCTGGTGAATGCAACATCAAAGCACAAACACATGGTTGCCCATTGGCCTACAGTTTGTAATGGCGTGTAACAGAGAAGCCTGCATAGCATCTGTACTGCCTTACTTTCCTACCCAGAGCTCCGGCTCCCCCGTCCCCCCCAATGCCTGAGAATGCCACGTCACCACCCACTCTTCTCCTCGCCGCCCTGGCTGAATGCTTTCCTCTGTTACCAGGCACAATGCACGATGGATACTGTGACCAGCAACGCCTACGTGACACATCGGAAAGGTCCCGCACAGTAACTCCACACAACAGGTGGAGGGAGAATCACTAACACGGGGCTGGCCGATGTGTCTGCTTGTGCTAAAGGTTTGGATCACCGGGGGACTCCCTAATGTCGAAACTGACACGCCGCTTTGATGCAATAAGGGTGCTTCTTAGGTGGGTGCACTGTGACAGCCGTGTCCCTGTCCTGGTGCATGCGCCAGTCTGAACTGTAAAAATGTGAGCGGAATTTGCTGCGTTCTTCTGTCAGGAGTTCAAATCACAAATCTAATCTCATCAGCCTCATTTGAAAAGTACTCTTCCCCGAGGTTGCACTGTACGCATTTTAACGGGTTTCAAACGTTGGCGTATTCATTAAAGGACTAATTAATTAATGAACTGAAGAAAAGGAGAAGAGCTGGCTGATTCATGAATGTTTTGAAACCGGAATAAGTGAATGACAAATGATTCCTGTTAAGACATCAGTGAAATTTAATGTTTAGTTAGAACAGAACCAAGATATAATTGTATAAACACTGATTAAAGAAATAGAAGTAGAGATTGATTAAGAGCAAAGGACTAGTGAGATTGTAAAAAAGAGTTAAGTGTCAAAACCATTATCTTTCTCCACGTTGACAGGCCAAGTATGCTGCCTTCCTCTCCACCCACCTCTTTATCTGTCTCTCTGCAGGTGCCCTCGCACAACGGGGCGCCAGGCGAGAGACTGAATAGCACCATCTAAAATCTATTACTAGTAGGGAGGATAAGTGAAAATCCAAGTGCCTGTAGGTGTGTGTCAGCACAGTGGGAGAGAGGGGAGGAGAGAAGTGGAAGAAAAGAAAAAAAACTGAGGCAGACATGAGCGAACAGGGCAGAAGAAGATGAGCGATGTGGCTTTCAATGATAGTTCACCACCTGCTAGCTGGCATACTGACGACGTCCGTGAGACAGAGAGAGTGAGACGCTGGCGTCTGTGACTAAGAGCCTTTGCACGGGCAGGCCTGTAACTTGAGTATTTTTTTGTCTCTGCTCACAGCGCTCGAGCAAAAGTAATCCTCCTGAAATCCTCTAACACTGTACAAGGGGGTCAGACGGGCCAGCAAGAGGCTTTCCCCCCCCATCTGATTCTTAAAAAAAAAAAAACTCCTGCTCCAATCGAACGCGTGCTCTGCTTATAAAGAAATCCGTCTGGTTGCCTGGCGCAGTGACACAACGATACACACAGTGACCCACGGACACAAACACATCACGAGAGCCAGGGAGCACAATGCACAGTGGTCAAATGTCTCACATGATCCTCACCAGCTGTCAGCGTCGCTCTAGACACCGGAGACCACTGGAAGTGGTTTGTGTGCGTGATACTGTAACAGGCTCCTTAGTCACGGGTGATTTGACAAAGCCACAGCGACCATCACAATGAGCTGCAGTCCCACTTTTAACTTCGGGGGACGGGAGGGGGAATTAAGAGGGACCACAAGTCATATTTCTGATACAAATTAGTTTCTTTCCTAGAAGTCTATGCAACTGAAACACAGCGATGAGGCTCTGTGGAGAACTTGGGTCTTTTCGTCATGAACATACATTTCCTCCGTTGGTGCTCCTGTGAAATGATCACTTAGACTAGTGTCTCGGTGTAAGTGGGTAAAACTAAACAACATAGTGCGGTTTGTGCCTGATCCCTTTTTCACCCTGAACGCACTAGAAAATGCAAAATCTCAGACAAGTCAACAGAAGCAATAAACACAACAGTGCATCCACTGGTGTCTTCAGAGCATGAGAATACAAATCAATATCTCCAGCTCTATCGAGCATGAAGCAACTGGAGAGTAAGAAATAGTGTCTGTTGTGCAGGCAACTGTTTGCCAGCAGCTACTCAATGTGGCGTTACTGTGCTATTTTACTGCCTCTAACTGCTTGGTGGTTTTTGACATCACAGCCTATACAGTAGTGCCTTTAATGTGATTCATAGACATTATCCCCCACATTCGCCAATAAGCGGTTTCCTGATCCATCTCAAAAGATTTGGTACACTCTATCCGTCACCAAATTTAATCACTGAACTGTTGAGAACACCTAAAATCCTACTGACAGAATTACCTCAACAATGCATATGAAAAAACAAAAAACAAGACGCCGGTGTGGCTGCTTCCTCTGCTGCCATGTGGGAAATGGACCAAAGCATCTTCCTAGGCACCACACAGATTAAAATAACTCCCTTTCTCTTGCACGCACACAAACAGTTAATAAATGTACTTGATGCACACATTGTGTATTATAACGTGTATACAGTGCATATCTACACACCTCAGCCTCAATAAACAAC